AGCAACTTCAAAAAGGAGCTTGCTGTCATGAGATTACAACCCAATACACCGGGAAACCCATCTTGCATAAAGTAGGTGTGATTTAGTCAAGCATACTGAGCTGAATATTACAGATGATGGAACTGCTCAGAGGGTATGAATCTCTTGACATTCTCTTTCAGTTCACAAAACTATTTCAGGCATGCTAACCTCACACACTCCCTTTTTCCCCTCCCAGCAAGGCAAATTAATTTAAAGAGCCAAGAGGTGGTATTTTCAAGAGAGATCAAAAATTTGATAGTTCTCAATCTGTGGAAACAGCTCACAGCACCTGGTTTTCTGAGGCTTTACCTTTTCAACAGGAAAAATAAAGAGGTGTCTCAGGTGCAGGGCTCCCCAAATTGGACTCGTTCAACATTCACCACCCTTCTTGAAAGTACTGGCAAAGATTGACACAAAAACCTCCTCTTACATTTTACTACCGATATTCTCCATCTTCCTATTTCCTCTCAGATTTCATTCTCCTCCTGTTCTCTCCCAGAATGTCTCATTAGTAGGATTCAGCCAAAACTTTCCAGCACACAACAGTTTAGCAGAAAGGCAAGGCGTGCTGCTCACATCACAGTGAACCTGCCTGCTCTTTGAGAAGGGCAGCAAAAAGAAAAGAGGCAAAAGACTGGCAGAGCTTTTCTGCATGAACACAAGTCAAGAAACAAGTCACCTTCAAAGGCTATGAGAGAGATCCGAGTGCCCTTCTTCCACTGATTAAAGTATGAATTCAGCACTCCAATCTGCCAACAAACCCTCTGCTCACAGGCTCGATTCCCTGCCGCAGCCAACACAAGGATGTGAAAGCCCTGCTCTTTCGCATGATGAGGCAAGACTTCCCACTAGTTTTGAAGACAGATGAGCTAGTCCATAACAGAAAGGACAAAAGCTTAAAATTTTATCTGTCCTTTTGGCTACCATTATCACACTTCAAAGACATTCACAGCGTCCAGGCAATTGATTTTTGTTGTTTACACACATATTTCACCTACTGCCAATATCATATTTTATGGCTTTATCCCAGTGTGCATCACTTAAGGAGTATGCAGTACTTCCTGTCACCAACTTTTTAAAAATTACATCCTCTAATGGTTACTGTGGATAAAGAGAATTCATTAAATTCATACATATCATTTCCTTTATCCAGTTTCCCATTACTGTGTCCCTGAAAGGGGTAATGCCTCTGGCTAACATTGCCTGCTGTAAAAAGCAATTTTAAGATAGCAATGTTCATATAGCAGAGAAAGAAAATGGAGAGGAAAAAAATATACTGAAAGCCACACCTGCCTGCAGCAGGAGATCATGATGGGAATTCACCCAGTAGCACAGTGCTTCCTCCACTTTCCAGACAACGGGCATTTTATCTGGATAGCAAGTTATGGAAATGAGGGATAGGAACAGCAGAGTTTCAGCAGACAGTTCACTAAATTTCTGTGTCTCAAGCAGTCTCGGCAGTAATCTGGTGCCATTTCATGGCACTTTACATCCTAAGAAGTAAGCAACTTAGAAGTACCTTCCAATGTATGTTAGTATACTTCCTCTGTCAATATTTTTTCCTGCTCACAGACAGCACATAAGGTCTGCTGACTGCCCAGGTTGACTGGCTACGCCAATTTCTTCCTCCTGCTCTAGTGCACATCAATATGGTGTTGCTCACAAAAACAAAAAACAATTATTTCCAGCTTTTAGTCTGATTTTCTAAAATCGGACCGGACAAAAATACCTTTTGCCAGCACTGAGTATCGCTAGAAAACAGAATTGTCTCTGGGTCCTTAGAAGGGATATTTTAATCTACCATCAGGTACAGGACCCAAAAATACTTTCATTACTATGTTTAGAGAGATACATCAGGGATGAGTCCAAAAGGATGGACTGGAAAAAAAGAAGGCAAGTCTAAGTACACCGCAGAAAGGCAGACAGAGCACAGCTGAGGTGACGAATGCGTGAACAATTAGCTTATGCTAATATCGGCATCTTGTTCCTTCTTCATTTTTGCCCTCCCTATTTACTTTGGCAACTTGGGGGTGCGACTATTTTGGAAAATTCATTCAATTTTAATACATGACCAAAAGTTTAGATTCCTCTGTAAGCAGTGAACATTTTTGATTTTTCTTTTAAATTCAACCAGCAAAACCAGAGTTTACTGACAAATCCGTGAACTTCTAATAATATGTGAGAAGTTAAGTTATTCTGTTCTGTGGTATTTTTTTCATTATACTCAGCATTAGATGGGAATAATGGAAATCAGTTCCTTAGAAAAGCCGCAGTTCAGGCTTAGTTCAAGAGGACAGGCTGTTTCAGAGAAGTAACTACTTGAGCTAAAACAGCCTCTCACGTTAGTGCACAAAAGTGGGGATCAGAGGGCACTGCAGAAACATTTTTGTGTGCTTATACTTGCATTCTATAGAGATAAACATTAGAACATGTTACTTATTACACTGGAGAAACCATAAATGGAGAGCTTGCTCAACTCTTTTCTCATCCCGTCTTGGGGGAAGCTGGACAAGGACTGAAGTTGCCTTAATCAGCCTGTGTAAGTAGAAGGCAAGACAGCTCCTTTCGGCAAGACTCCCGCACTGTGTGAAAGCATATTGTAAACATCAGGTTTCACAGTTTCTGCAATTTCTTATGAAAGAGTCAAGCTTATATCTATTTTCATGTAGTTATGGTACACTTTACCATCTGTCCTTGTAATTTCTTTTAAATCCATAGCCTGAACGTATCCTTGCTGAACATAAACACCGCGTATCTCATATTCTAGGAGTATCTGGATGCTAAATAGCAGCTCAAACGTATTCTAATGAGGAGTAATATTTTGATCTCTAAAGCATCCCCAGAAATGAGTAAAAGTTATTATTACAATTTGGTGAGCAAAACAAGGTTTGAGCTTTTGGGAAAAATAAAGTGCAAAGATGAAAAACAAATCTGGAATCATAACTACCAATTTCTTGCGCTGGCTACTGGCCAAAACCCTGACTGCACTTCTAACAGAAAGTCTAATAAATCCCACAGAAGAGATTTTTAAAAAGAATAATAATAATTTGTCCAATCTACCTTCCCCAAAGGAAGGGAAAAAAGGTAACGATTTGTTAAAGCTTGTCCATATAGTCTAAAAAGAAGTAATGTTAATTTCTTAAATGAAAAATAAACATAATCCATTTTTTTTGCAGTGAATTACTTTGGTTACGTTGAACTGAGAATAATAATTGCAAGTTGCTTACAATAATCCTACAGCTACAGATGTCATATCTGCTAGACCTTTATTTGCTTAACAGAAGACAGAAATAAGACTCTTACTGTAAAGTTTACCATGAGCTCCCTACATCAATCTGCACTCAAAATACCACCTACTACCTGCAAATAACACTAACGTTCCATTATATCATACCTTGAAAACAAAGGAAATAAATCATTGTACTCACACTACTTGAAGAGTTCTGTACTGTCCTGTAGTATTTGTGAACAAATTGATTCACTGAAGCAAAAAATTACTCTTTCTCTCTAACTAAATGCAACAGAACTTTCTTGGACTGGAAGTTAAACAACTCTGCTGCACTGCTCCAAGTTAAAAATAAAATAAACCAACGTCAAACATACACTGTTAGAAAAGCATCCTCTACCTTACAACCTCTTCACTTCCAAGACAGCAACATCCTTTACATCCGCGTTCTTCTCCCAGTGACCTCCTCCACATACGATCTCCTTTACAATGCAGGTTCTGACACCAGAGTTAATCAGCTGTTATTAAACAGACTTACCCCCTTCAACCTCTTTTTCCCCAGGCCGCTGTCTCCAGCGGATCTGGAGCATGCTCGATTTTCTATTTGGCTGTATTTGCCTCTAAAGAAAACTTCTCCCTGCCAGCACAATCTCTCATCTGCTTGAGAACATCATCACTGTAACACAACAGCATACCTTGGAGCATTCCATTTGGTTGTTCTTCCTGACTAGCTGGCCTGGCAGCTCTTCTGTGTGCCAAAAGCTTCTGTCCTAGCCTAGAAAGGAAACGGCCTGCACAGCAGCTTCGAAGAGTCTCTTTCTTCTCAGGTCAGACCCAGGAAGCTTTATTTTATTAACATAGAAAGATTTAACTGGGTCTAGTATAATGTGCTTCAGTGGCCACCCTGACTGTGCTAATCCTGCCCTACTGCATATCTTGCTGCCATGGAAATGATTAATTTATTTACAAGAAACAAAATCAGCTGCAGGGTTGTTGTTTTTGTGGGCTAGATTTTTTAGGGAGGGAAGGAGGGTTAGAAGCCCTAAAGGCTTTAGGAAGGCTTTGAGTACATTCAGGTTAACTACTGATCTTGCCAACCCTTTATGCACATGAACATCTAGGTGAAGTACAAAGCATCCAGAGGCTAATTTTCTGTATCTTCAGGTGTTGGCAACTTCACTGTAACTGCAAAATAAGTTCTTGAAACTAATTCAGGACCAAATCTTAAATGTTCATTAGTTACCCTTTCAAGCCTTTGGAAACACCCAGCCTTTAAACAGAATTTGAAGGAACTGCTGTTCTTCAACAGGTTTGTAAGCTATGACTGACTGCAAGACCAAATATCTCCACTGAGTTCAATAAGCTGATCGTCTGTTTGTAAACATAGCAAATGTTTAAGTATCTCCAGCACTAGTTGTTCTTTGCTGTTTCCATTCTACCTAGGATTTAAGAATATCACGTTGCACCTTATTTGTTTTACTTACAGATCTCTACGAACCACCAGAGATCTGTAATCTCATTCTCTGACAATTAATAGAAATCTGTAATGGGTTTTCATAGCTCCTTTGGATGAACAACAGCTCTAGAGGCAGTGTTCAGAGAATGCTGTCACTGCAGCCAGTAAAGGGAAGAATATTAGTTTTGACTGATTTTACATCTTTAAAAATAGGTATTTTGAATCCAAGAAATGTACTGGCTTATAAACCTTTTACGGAACACCAAAAATATCTCTAGAGATTAACATGTCTTGAAATGGAGAGCTTCTTTGCAAAAAGCAAAGAATAATTCACATTCTCTCTGTCTGCACAAAAAGAAAAAATAATTAAGAAGTCATAAATATACGGCATCACAGCCTGCCTTTGCAATAGCATTAATTTTGATGAATTCCTGTACTGCTCATGGGTCTCAGACTATGCAATTACATAGGAATTCCTTTACAATTCAGCTTTAGTGAAGTGCATGCTTATTAGGAATCTGTGTTGAAGGTATTTTGTTACAATATTCACACCATTACTTTATAAATAGGTAGACAGTTGCACATTGCTTTGATCATTCTTGCTATTAAAAGGAAAGAACAGGAACAGAATTTTTCTCTTAATTGGAACAGTGGCTATAGGCAGCTTGGATAGCGACCCCCGTAACTTTGCTTGTTTCTCAGAGCACCAATTATGTACAACGTCATGTTACTGACGAACTGTAAGTGCTCAAATCATATGTAGCAGAAAAAAAAAAGAAAGGACAATATTAAAAAAAAAAAAAAAGCACGGGGGCGGGGAGTGAGAAGAGAAGATACAAACCTTCTCATCTCGCCAGTCAGCATGTTTCAGGAAAGCCCAGAAATACAGTCAAGTGGCTGGGAAACAGATGCAAACAGTATTTAACAGCTCAGGCACTATGCCAATGCCCTACCTGCTCGTGTTGTCATCATCATCAGAGTCAATGAAGCTGCTGGACTCTAGCTCACTACTCATCATGGTAGAAGAACTGTCATAACCAGGAGGGTGCTCACGGTGTCTGTCCAGTTTCGGATGGCCATTGATCCGAGGGACTGCAGAAACAAAATAAATGGAGTATTACTAGGCAAAGAGGAAGAGCAAGGAAGAAATGGCACTGTGAGTAGCACCGCATTCACACCGACAGCTGCAGACAACTCTGCAGGAGGATCCTTATGCTGAAACCAAGCTCTTTGCAGAACCTGATTTCATTCAACAGCTGGAAAGCCTACTGCCCTGGCTGGCCCGCCTACCTACCTACATTTTTCCTAACTTTTTCATTTGTCTATGGCTCAGTTCATGGGCAAGCCATAAATGGATCAAGGCGGAAGTAGCAGGCATGAACAAGTACTATAATGGTATTAGAACATCAATTAGAATGGCCATGAGAAGTTGATGTCAATAGGAAGGTACGTATCTTGAAAAAGCAGCAAACACCACAAATTGAGTTTGGTATGGATAGGCCTACCAGCACAGAAAACGTTCAACAACATTCCTTGATGAATTCTTCTAATATCTCACCCATAAAACCACCTTTCCCTTGATCTGTGCTACGTGTTCCTCTCCCCATACCTACACCATCTGGTCTGGGCGGTACAGCTGTATCAAAGTCACATCGTCTTGATCATTCCATGTGCATAAGATGCTTCAGAACAATTTCTTACTGATCCCTGGCTGTGAGAACAATTTCTTACTGATCCCTGGCTGTGTGAATGTCATCAGACACACAAACATTCCTGTAGATAATCCACTCTATATTATGCCAAATTAATTAATGATAAAATGGCATTATCTACATTATCCTGCAGATAATGCCATTAACTTGAAGGCAGCAATGATTCATCTTTTTCTAGACATATTTTATGGATTTTCCCCTGCACAGCAAACTGCTCTGCCTGCTTCCTTTCAGTGACCCCTCATTAGAAGACCCGTAATTTATAAGCACTCTGTTTTGCCAAGAACGCTCCTTTCCCTGAAACAAGAAAGTTTCAGCTTGATAAGGCACCTGGTCAAGAAATAAACATAACAGGCTTCAAAGACAGACTGTATTTTAAAACACACTCTCCAAACTCACAAGTCCCACCCAGGTCCAAGGGGTGTGCTCTTCAATTAGAAAATACACCACCTTCATAAAGGAGGAATGTATGCAGTAGGAATTATACACGATGCTGTGCAACTGGACACATTGAAAGTTAATTGACAGTTCTTGCTAACTATTAAAGTAACATGGTTTGAGAAACCAAGAGCCATCCTAAATACCTGGCTGTGAAGTCCACTGAGGCTAGCCTTCACTCCTCTGTTTCAAATTGCTCAGCAGTGAAATAAAAAAGCTGATCAGTTTTCTTCTTGCCTGAGGAACGTGGGCTTAATTATTTATGTCCATAAAGTGTTTTAAGAGATTCAGCAAAAGGTAACAGACATATATAAGATCTCATCTCAATTTTTTATACATATATCTAAACCATTCACTTCTGTGAAGTGAAATAATTAAAGCATAAGGCTGTAACAAATTCTCCTGCTATGTCACTTCCATATCCCGTTTGATCACGCAGCTTCTAGACACATCTACAGGCACACAAAATGGCCGTGAAACACTTAAACTGGCTACCCAAGAAGACCAAATCCTCTTCCAAGTCACTGAGCAAAACCAAAGCCCCTTCCCTCCTGCAATAGCACCAAGCTTTGGTTTGAAGAGAAGCTAAACAGTAGCATCCCTTCATCAGCCTTCTCAGAACCGATACCTTTTTCATCTTGCCATATGCTGAAGGGCAGTTGAGACGATACCATTTATTCAAGCCTCGAATCCCCTTCTGAAACTAGCACACACTCGTAATGATGAGTCGGGGACTGACTGCTGTCCTCCCGGAGCTGCCCCACAGACAAAGGCCATGTGGTGTTACAAAAATGAAGCTAATCAGGTTTCAATTTCAGGCTCTGCCTCCAGGACTCCTAGCATTTCCATCTCTCACCTCCCCATGCGTAAAATGGAGACACAACAGCATTTGCCAGAACTTTTTAGACTGCACATTCTACAGTACAGAAAGCCTCTCCTCCCATAATTTGGTCATCACAACTACCACAATATGCTCCCAGTATTGGGTGGTAACACTAGATCTCACCAAAAACCAATTAATCAGCTTGTCAGCAGCAACTCAAGCTTTCAGAATGACAACGCTTCATAGACACAGTGGGAAGAAAGCATTTAAAGGCCTGAAGTTTCAGTTCTGTCTGAATAAATGAGTGTTCATTGGTTTCCTCAAACCCTACAGTCCAATAGAAATGGGAAATGGACTATTCATGTACTGCTTTTGGTACCACAGATAATTAGCTGAAAATAAAGTACCTTCAGGAATCCCACATCCACACTCAAATAGTCTCCTAGCTCTGCCTTTAAACTAAAATCTAAAGAGCAGCCAATTATGCCTGCGTATGCCAGATGTATACAGATAAAAAGAAACACAGAGGCTGGCCAAATTTTACTCCTTCTAAGCTGGTACTAACAGCTTAGAGGGAATATCTCATCCAGATAGTGCAGAGGCTGATACAGCCATTTATGGCATCGCTACTGAGGAGGTCAAGACTATATTGCATTGTTTCTGCTCATCAGGAACAGGCAACTTTGACCACTGAGAGTCAAGGTCAGGTAATGCATTCTACAGAGTCCCTCAATGTTCAACCCCAGCTACTCATCCAGGCTTTAAAAAAAAAACCCAAAACAAACCAATTCTTTTAAAGTTGCTTTCATCCATAACAAAAACAGAAGAAGAAAAAAAAAAAAAAAAAAAAGAAGGGAAAAGACATCCAGATTCTAAAGCTGAGAAAACAGCACTTTTCAGCAAATTAATAGGCTTTAGACAGCCAGAATTCTGTCTTTTAAGACTAAGGAGAACATCACAGACTTGAACAATTAAAGTGCCTCCTTTTCTTACGCTACAAATTCATTTTTTCAGTCTTTATATAGTGCAGCCTAGAGTTCCAAATATTTCACTGGGTCTGGAAACCTGGATGCTAATCACAGCATCAGACAAATTCAACTCAATCCCTTCAGCGTCAGCTTAAGTATAAAATCAAGCCCAGCCACCTTGTCCATTCATTCTTTGCTTCTACACAGTGAAACATCAGAAACTGTGGAGTGAATTAAAGCCTCTTATTCCAACAGATTGCATAACCCAAATACACATGCATTGGAAACAGCACTGGAACAGCTAACAATTTACACAGGCACTGCTATCTAGCAGCCAGATAACTTTCAAGGAAGTAAAGCATTCCACACTCTGACCACATGAACCCCTTGTCTCCCTTCGAAACACACTTCACCTCGAAGCCTAATTTCAGGAGCAACTGTTGGCTCGCGAGAGTATCATCACCAACAAATGGGGACATTGGACTACCAGAACGCGTGCAACACTATCACCCTTACAAGCTCTGCGCAGTTTTCCCCGAAGAGGGAATGACAGCCGAGAAGAGGCGGTGACATACGTACAAAGGTTTGCGGCAAAGTGTTCGTGATTCTGACTTATGACGGCCAGAGTCCCTCACCAAATGCAAATCCCACACAGGCCCAAGCAACTGCGAGTTGGCTGCCGATTACTCGACAGTCGCTGCCACTGACGTTTCCTTTATGACTTCAATACAAAGCAACAGCAAATCTTAGAAGTTTACCAGCTGGCACGCAATTTACAACAAATCTACTATCTTTGCCCCTTCCGAGTTTCAAATGTCTATTTTTCATAGAGGAGCAGTATATAAACTAGAACAGATGGAAGTCAAAACATCAGCCCTGGAGAAAACTGACTTAAAATCATAGAATCATAGAATCGTTTAGGTTGGAAAAGCCCTTTAAGATCATCCAGTTCAACCATTAACCTACACTACCAAGTCCACACTAAACCAGTCAAGGGTAGACTAGACTAAACCATGTCCCAAAGTGCCACCTCTGCCCGTTTTTTGAACGCTTCCAGGGCTGGGGACTCCACCACCTCTCTGGGCAGCCTGTTCCAATGCTTGACCACCCTTTCCGTAAAGAAATTTTTCCTAATTTCCAACCTAAACCTCCCCTGGCGCAGCTTAAGCCCATTTCCTCTCGTCCTATCGCTAACTTACATTTCTCCACTTGAAAAATCCCTTCTTTTTTATTACTGTGCTTGTTTTTCCTGCATTCCTCTGCTATTCATCACTTGCAACTTATAAAAGCAATCACATCAATGCTGGGTGATAATGCTGATTTCATTTGGAGAAGCTGACATTAAACAGAGCCCTGATATTAACAGCAAGCCCCTGTCAGAAGAAGTTTTCCCAGCTCTGACTGGGTGGGTAGTACGTTACAGAAAACAATGACCTGGATTTTATCCGCATTTAACTGGTATAAATAGGAAGCAAATTTGGGCAGCATGCTTCTCTCATCAGAGATACTTTATTTACATTTGGCTTCGATTATTATTAAGTATACAGCCCAGAAAGAAAGTTGCCAGCATGATTTTGTAATCTTTCTCTGCAAAACTGGTCTATTTATGCGGCTGGGAAGGGAGGGAGGGCACCTCTGGCCATCAGTAGGTGGGTTGTCTCAAGTGCCCACTAGAAATCACCAGTCCTGTCTCCCCCATCGCAGGTCCTGAGTATTAGACAGTGCAGACTCTTCACTTCATTCCAAGTGGGTGCTCTAAAAGCATTAAAGGTAGGTCTCTACGGATTGCAATCTCCAAGCTCTCAACCAGACCTTGCACAGCTGGCAGTGAGGATTGCTATGAAACCAGGACATGTTTCAAAGTGTCCATCCACTGTGGGGTGTTTATTCAGAAAATTTTTGTCCTTAAAGACTCTATGAGCAGATTGCTATTTTATTGAATTTGCAATTCAGAGTCATTTGCCTGATACTTTCAATAGATAAAACTCTGTAACTCAGCTGATTTGTTTTTCATGTCTTTAAGCAGTGGACACCACGGTCAGCAGTCGCGTGTTGTTTCACTACTAGTAAGAAACTTCCCAACTCCAAATCTGAATTTGCTTCCTGCAGGCGTCCTAAGAGACCATTCTCATGCTGTCTCTAA